TCTCTTCTGCTCACCAAGCCTGCATTTATTTGATCCAAAATACAGCAAAAGCAGTAACATTGTGAAATATTTTTAGTATTTAAAATAACTGCTTTCTATCTGAATATATTTTAAAATGTAATTTATTCCTGCGATTTCAAAGCAGAATTTTAGCATCATTACTCCAGTCACATGATCCTTCAGAAATCATTCTAATATTCTGATTTGCTGTTTAAAAACATTTATTATTATGATTATGCTGAATACAGCTGAGTAGAATGTTATCTTAGGTTTCTTTGATAAATAGAAAGTTCAGAAGAACAGCATTTATCTGAAATAGAAATATTTTGTAACATTATAAATGTCTTTATTATCACTTTTGATCAATTTAATGCATCCTTGCTAATAAAAGTATTAATTTATTTTAAGAAAGCGTCTTACTGAAGCCATACTTTTGAACGGTAATGAATGCCATATTAATTTACTGTCACTTGATGTTTGTGAGTGAACTATGCTTATGACCCAACACTTTTTAAATGATTCACTCAATCTGATTTGAACATATAATCAATGAAACATCTCACAATCTATTTAACTTGGACAAAAATAGCGCTTAAATACATTTCAGTTGAGTTTTGTTTTGGAGGGGGTTGGACAAATTTTCTGAATGAACCGATTCATTAAAATAAACTGGGCACTCCCAGTAAGAAAGTGCATGTCATGTGACCTGATTTCTCTCACCGTGTGCCCAGGCGTCTGGTCCTCAACCCCATGGTGAGTGTGTGAGTGTGTGTGTGTGAGTGAGTGAGTGAGTGAGCGTGCGTGCGTGCGTGCGTGTACCTGTAAGAGTCCAGGGATGATGTCGGGCAGGAGCTGAATCAGGGAATCCTGGAGAATGCGCTCAATTACTTTGGTCTGCATTTTAATGGCGGCGAGGTTGATGGGATAGTCGGCCGTCTGGATGATGGGACACAGGACTTTGATGCACTGCTCTGAGTGGATGGATCCGGCCAGCGTGGACGCCGTTTCTTCTGCCGCCCGCACCACCTGTGGAGACACGAGACACGACCGTCAGATAAACAGCACAGAAGAGTGACGTTAAAGAGAGAATAATGGCTCTTAGAGCAGCGCTTCTCAACTTTTTTGACTCGAAGGCCCTACATTGTCCTCCGCAATATTTCAAGGCCCCCATGTAGACTAATATGTTTCTGTAAATACAAATTTTGTTTTCAAAGTTTTTGATTTATATAAAATATATTTCAGGGTTATTAAAGTTAGCAAAAACTAAAATAGTTAAAAAAGCAAAACATTTAATATAATATAATAAAACATAAAAATTATTTATTTTCAGCAATGCCAAGTCAACATTTCTCATTTTGATTAAGTTTAACTTTATATATGAAAATAGCAGAAACTAAAATTGACATAAAAATTTATAAAAGTTATACAGACATATTAAAAAAAACAAAAACCTTAAAGAATTGTATTCAAAACTAGTCAATGACACTAAAATAAGTAAAAATAAGTACAACTATTATAATTATGTCTTTATTATCACTTTTGATCAATTTAATGCATCCTTGCTAATAAAAGTATTAATTTCATAATTTAATAATAAATATATAATGAGTTAAATATACTGACTCCAAGCTTTTGAATGGTATAGTGTATCATGTTACAAATGCTTTTTATTTCAGATAAATGCTGATCTTTGGATCTTTCTATTCATCAAATTTTTTTTTTTTTTAATTTTTTTTTTTTTTTTAATTCCCCAGGGTTTTAAATTTTTTGTTTCTTTTAATTATTTCGGCGAGGTTGATGGGATAGTCGGCCGTCTGGATGATGGGACACAGGACTTTGATGCACTGCTCTGAGTGGATGGATCCGGCCAGCGTGGACGCCGTTTCTTCTGCCGCCCGCACCACCTGTGGAGACACGAGACACGACCGTCAGATAAACAGCACAGAAGAGTGACGTTAAAGAGAGAATAATGGCTCTTAGAGCAGCGCTTCTCAACTTTTTTGACTCGAAGGCCCTACATTGTCCTCCGCAATATTTCAAGGCCCCCATGTAGACTAATATGTTTCTGTAAATACAAATTTTGTTTTCAAAGTTTTTGATTTATATAAAATATATTTCAGGGTTATTAAAGTTAGCAAAAACTAAAATAGTTAAAAAAGCAAAACATTTAATATAATATAATAAAACATCTTTCTAGTTTTGTTTTTAGTTTTAGTTTATTTAGTATGTCAAGTTACAATCAATGAAAATAAGACATAATGACTTGCAACTAGCTGAAATAAAATATATATTTTCAAAGTTTAGCTTGTTAACTATAATAGCCTTCCTCATACTTCATGTATGGGAATCCTGGTTCTTTAGAGACAAAAACAGTTACTGAGGGGGAGAATTAAAGCAAGAAATATCTCGACTAAGTAGTTTCAGCTTATGTTAATGCTTGCTTTGTCTCATCTTGAAGCCCTCTGGTGGAGAAGTGCTGTATTATTAGAGAGAGAGTCTGGCCCACCTCTTTGTGGCAGTCTTTATGGGCCTCCAGGGTTTTCATGATGGTGAGTTCTGCGTAGTTCTTGAAGCGCGCCGGTTGACTGCGCATGATCTCTTTCAGGACGCGCAGAGCCAGCGCTCGGATGGTGTGCTGTGGACGGACACAACCCTTCTTTAGCTGCACCTGTGCTGTTTTTAATTGTTGGACCATGTGACTATCAAGTACAGTATATGAGTGAGTCTCTCTCACGTCTCTGTCTCCCAGCGTCTCCAGCAGCAGCAGCAGCATGGTTTTGAAATGCTCCTCCCACACAGCCAGACTGTCGTCACGCGTGACCTTCAGCAGCTCCAGCAGAGCGGCCCGCCTCTCCTCCACACGCTCGCTGTGATTGGACAGCTCCTTCAGCAGATCACCAATCATCTCCAGGTGCTGCCTGGGTCCTGACCAATCACAGTCAGCGACATTAAACACACAATCTGAACATTAATGCACCGAATCACATCTGAATGAATCACTGAAGCATAATGGAATCATAGCGCTCAGGAAAGGCTTTTAATATTCAGTGGCCATCAACTTTTCAGCTGCCTTATATTTTAACCAGTCCTTAAAAAGTATTTATAGAAACTAAAGCTGAACTGTTTTGAAATGTTCATACATTATCTATGGCAGGGTTTTTCACCCTAACACTAAACTAAAGCCCTTAAAAATAATAATAATAAAAAAATAAAATAAAATATACCTTTTTAAAAATATACATTAAAAAAACAAAAATATATACGTATATATATTAAATAAATAATATAATATATATATTATATTAATATAATATAATATAAACTTTTTTTATTTCAGCTTTCAACATTTCATTTTTGTTTAGTTTAACTTGGAGTACTAAAATAACTGACACTAAACAAATAATAAATAATACATATTATATAGGCATAAAAAAATTAAAATAACAAAAACAGCAAAATGACAAAGAATTTAACTAAAATGAAAACTGAAAATAATGAATACATAAAAATGAATTAAGTCTAAATAGCAATATTTAAAACAAAAACTAATAAAAACGAATTCCTCAATTGTAAGTCGCTTTGGATAAAAGCGTCTGCTAAATTAATAAATGTAAATGTAATAAAATAACATGACAAAAGTACTAAATTTTAAACTAAAATGAAAACAGAAAATAATAAATAAATAAAATAAATAAATACACTTAAATAGTAATATTTAAAACAAAAAACTCATAAAAACAACACAACTAAATTAATAGAAATATTAAACAAATTAAAATGCAAACAAATAATAATAAATAAATTAAACTTAAATAGTAATATTTAAAACACGAGAACACAACAAAATTACTAAGAATTTATCTAAAATGAAAATGAAAACTGAAAACATAAAAAGAAAATCTAATTCAAAATATTAACAAACTCTATAAGAGTATATCAGTGATGCTAAAATAACACTTATCTATGGAGATGTTTATTTACAGAAGCTGACTTTTGCTCTTTTCAAACGGGTTCAAACCTCCTCATACCTGCAGAAAAACCTTTCGGATGCAGGATTTTGTTTTCTCCGCAGTCCTGTGGACGACCTGAAAGAGAAACCCAAAGACGCTGGCCTGTTTCTGTGAACATCACGAAGTGATTCTTCTGTTGATGTGTTTGTTCATTTACCGTCTCGGACGTGCTCCACGTCGTCAAGCACGGCGAGCGCTCCTTTCTCGTAGGCGCTGATGGAGTCGCTGTAGTTGTATTGGTTGTATTCGCGAGCCCACGGGCCGCTGAACGATCGAGGGGACGGTGTGTTTAATAATGATGTCTTGTTGTCCAGCGCTGTCCGGCCTCCTTCCATCACACCAGCGGACAGACGAGGATCCACACCGGTCTGAAAGAGAAATCTGCATATTTAGCTTCAACCTTGTGTCTGACTATAACATCTATTAATCAGAAGAATTCAAACACTCTTGTGACATCATTCATATCCATTCTGGTATTATAAGATTAATCAGTTTGAGGGCAGAAGAAAGAAGTCAGCAAGGCAGCATTTATTTGGAATATAAATCTTTTCTAATATTATCAATGTCTTTACTGTCACTTTTGATCAATTCAATGCATAAAATAAAATTAATAAAAGTATTAATTAAAAAAAACTTAATATTAATCTAATATCTATTAAAATTTAAACAACCTGGCCATTTGAAAAAAAAAGCAATTATATAAAATGTATATGAAGATATTAAGCTTCATATACGTTTAATGTAATTGCTATTTTCAAATGGTCAGGTTGTTTACATTTTGAAAGTTGCTGGAGATATTGTTGATCACAGGCTACAAGTTGCTTAATATTTAGCATTTTGAGGCCTCAATCTTCTATTTCAGATGAAAATATGAAAAGCTTTGCAGCTTAAAAAATTAATGCAGACCTTCTTGTTTGATTAGTTTGGGTCAACCTGAAGCAACATCTTGAAGACAGTCTTGCAGGAGGAGGTACTCACCGTATCGTCCCTCTTGCCGTCATGTTTGATGGGCTCGAGTATGCCTTCCTGACTGCGGAAACTAAAGCTCTGGATGGCTTCGGTTACACCTCTCAACGAGCTGAAGATCTCCTCTGAGTTCATGTTCTCGGTGTCGTACTCCAGCATACTGCGCACACACACACACACACACACACACACACACACAGAGTGAGGCCTGACTCTATATGCATTGACTTTAACATACAACACAAGGCGGACAGACGACACACAGATGTGATGAATGCATCAACTGCTCAGCTGCAAAGTCAAAGTGACACATCTTAAACATTTCATACAGACAGATTAACACTCGACAAACCTTTGCATTTGCCACGAAGCAAAAAGTGGTTGGAACAACAGAAATCAGATGGATGAGAGACAGAAAGACATCACAAAAGTAATGAAAATGTAAGACACGGATTCTCACGCTGAGACAAATACAAAGAGAGTGCAGTTTGACCAAAATATAAGGTTTGCACATTTGCTAAAATTTCTAGGATTTAAAAAAAAAACTTTCAAGGCAAGACAATACAGGTGAAAAGTGTAAAAATATACTTTCCCCAGATGATTATTCACCGCACATTAAGACAGTTTTCTTGAAATGTTATGTTTAAATATGCAGGTAAGGAATTATCTAATTAAATGTGTACTAATTTGCATACATTTCCAGAACATCAATCTGAACTTTGGATAAAGCCAGGTTCAAAATTAGTTTTTAATTTGTTGACATATTAAATATTTATATTTTTACAGAGGAGATTTTGGATTTCTGCTTTTATCACTCCAAAAATCAGAAAATACTGTCAACAAACAGAAATAGGAAAATACCACATTTTTATGAAAAATATGTTGCATAATACCAGGTGAATCACATATGAACAAACCCCTCAGTAAAAACCTTCAGAATATAGACAGGAATAAAACTGTTAAGTTTGGTGTTTGTAAGTGCTGCTGAAGTGGAGAAACAAACTCACGGCCTTTAAATATATGGACTTTCGCCATATTTTTAGGAAGAAAATGTTCTAGAAATAAGTCTGAATGATACATTTTGGTGTATGTAAGTGCTGCTGAAGTGGAGAATTTTTTTTTATAGATATGTATTGTAATTTAAATCTACAGACGCAAATATATAAAAATGCAATAATTAACTCAGGTAAATGACATATGAACAAACCCCTCAGTAAAATCCTTCAGAATATAGATATGAATAAAACTGTAAATTTTGGTGTATTTAAGTGCTGCTGAAGTGGAGAAAAAATGTTTATAGATATGTATTGTAATTGAAATCTACAGACGCAAATAAATAAAAATGCAATAATTAACTCAGGTGAATGATACATGAACAAACCCCTCAGTAAAAACCTTCAGAATATAGATATGAATAAAACTGTAAATTTTGGTGTATTTAAGTGCTGCTGAAGTGGAGAAAGAATGTTTATAGATATGTATTGTAATTGAAATCTACAGACGCAAATACATAAAGATGCAATAATTAACTCAGGTGAATGACACATGAACAAACCCCTCAGTAAAAACCTTCAGAATATAGATATGAATAAAACTGTAAATTTTGGTGTATTTAAGTGCTGCTGAAGTGGAGAAAAAACTTTTATAGATATGGATTGTAATTGAAATCTACAGACGCAAATAGATTAAGTGCAATAATAATCTCACGGGAATGATATATGAACAAACTCCTCAGTAAAAACCTTCAGAATATAGACAGGAATAAAACTGTAAATCTTGGTGTTTTTTAAGTGCTGCTGAAGTGGAGAACAACTTTTAAAGATATGTATTGTAACTGAAATCTACAGACGCAAATATATAAAAATGCAATAATTAACTCAGGTGAATGACATATGAACAAACCCCTTGGGAATGATATATGAACAAACCCCTCAGTAAAAACCTTCAGAATATAGACAGGAATAAAACTGTAAATTTTGGTGTTTTTTAAGTGCTGCTGAAGTGGAGATAAAACATTTATAGATATGTATTGTAATTGAAATCTACAGACGCAAATACAATTTTACTTAAAATGAACACTTAAATGTGTATTTTGGATGTTTTCTTTCCTCTAGTTTGAAATAAGACATGTTATGGAAGCAAAATAGCTAAATTGATCAGTGCATGAAAAAGATGACTGGGTTTGCCTGTAGTGTTTTGCCTTAAAAGGAACATTCCAGGTCCATTTAAACCTAAAACATTTCTTTAAATGTCATGCATTGACTTTAAATTGATTAGACTACCAATGAAAAACCAATAATTGTGCAGGAAATTCCTGCTCTTATGTGCTAGCATCCTGACGCCCGGGCTGAGGTGTGTTACCTGGGCGAATACGCCCTCCGATAGGCCCGGAGAGGGGGGGTGGCAGGGCCGGAGTGGGGAGGAGGGAGGTTAGAAGAAGACTTTGAGCTCCGGCCCCACAAACGACTGAGCCGAGAGGAAGAGGAGGATGAAGAGAGAGCAGGGAGGTGTAGAAACAAAGAGGAGGAAGAGAGGAAGAAAAGAGGAAACAGTGAAAGATGCTAGTTCTAAAACTACCATATCCTGACCAAACACGACGCCATCAAACAATACATCACGTCTTGCACATTTAAGTGAGTTTTGGTCCAAACCAGCTGTGAGCACACAGAGATGCTTCTGTTTTTATGCATAGTGCTGGGAAACTCCGCCAACAATGAAACCTGATTGGTCCACAAGTCTGTATATTAAACAGTAAATGTGATTATCGTTAAATAAAACTAAAACCATAAAAAATTAAATAAGCATGAACTAAAAAAAATATTTCAGTTAACTGCCACGGCAACATTTCTCATTTTCATTTAGTTTAAGTTAAAGAACTAAAATCACAAAAACTAAAAATTTAATAGAAACTATACAGACATAATAAAGAAAACTAAAAATGACAAAACACACAACAAAATCACTAAAACTTCACCTAAAATAAAATGAAACGGATAATCTAAAAATACAATTTAATTCAAAATATTAACAAGAACTACAACAGTAAGGTATATCAATGATACTAAAATAACACTGATTCTGAATGGTTGAGATTTTGTCACTTCAGGCAGCATTTTGAAGCATTGAAACATAAAATTTAAAGAATAATTCAGAAAAATAATTATTAAAAGAAATAACAAATAAACACCCTTCACACATCTGAGTTGTTGAAGAAATTACAGTCACTGTTGTTGCTCATTTCAGCCAAAGAAGCACAAAATGTTATTATTTAACAAAATTTACTTTATAAGGAACAAGTGTTGAATTACATTTTCCTTTCAATAACAAAAAAGAGGAAAAACGAAAAATATCACTTATCATGGCTGGTCAAAACAAAAATTATCGTATTGCGTCACAACAAAAACAGAGACATTTACAATCTGCAACATAAGATGCAACACCCTTTGAAATGTCAAAACAGAGCAATATTAGTAATATAACATGGATTTAATGTAATTTCATGATGTGCATTTAGTGCAGAAGCTGTTTGTTAGTTCATGCAGAAATGAAAAACATCCTAAAAAACAAATCTAAATAGCATCAACATTTATTTGCCTTCAGAGAGTTTGAAAATGAGTGAAACATGACTGTTCATTCATTTTGGTTATTAAACTAAAGCGTGTAAAACCATGTTCAAAGATGGGTTACTGATGAGGACAGGATCACTAGAGCAAATGTTTGTCTTTTGGAGCAAAAGAACATTAGAAAGTCAATGATTCGAGTTACGACCAGGACCACATGAAATATGCATTTTCGGTGTCAGTTTGTGTTGTATTGAAATAAATGTTGTAATTACATTGAATTAAACATGATTGAATGTGTTCAATTTAGCCAAGAATATGATATTCTTAATATAAAATAATATATATATATATATTTATATATATATTAAAACCATAAAAATTTATTTTGTTGCTTTAAATAAAATAAGTTACCTGAAATAAAAAAAAATAAAAAAGGTCAACTTATTTTATTTCATTCTCTTTTACTTCAAGCAATAGTTACAATTTAAGTTTAGTTTAAAATATCTGAAACATATTTTAGGTGATGTGTAGCAGGGTTATTACTGATAACTAAAATTAAAACCATAAAAAAATGTTTTTTGTTGCTTTAAATAAAATAATAGTTACTTGAAATAAAAAAAATGAAAAAAAGGTCAACTTATTTTATTTCATTCTCTTTTACTTCAAGCAATAGTTGCACTTTAAATTTAGTTTAAAATATCTGAAATTAAATAAACTAAAACTAATAAATCAAATTAATAAAACGCTATATAGACATTTTAAAAAACAAACAAATAAAAATTACAAAAACAGCACAATTAACTAACTAAAATTAAAATGAAAACAATACACATAAAACTACCTGAGAGTATTATATTCTTCACATAAAATATGTATTATTATTTAATAATTAATAATAATAATAATAATAATAATAAATAAAATAATAACAGTAATATTTAAAATAGTATTTTATTATTATTTGTATTTTATTATTTATTTATCATGCTCATTTAAAAAAATAAAAAAATAAACTATTGTTTCTGCAGTCTCAGATTCCATGTAGTCCTGATCATGTCCCACAGCTTCACAGATGGTTGTTTTGAGGTGGTGTACCTGGGTGACATTCCCCCGTGTGAGCCGTTGGTGGGTGAGGTCAGTGGGCTGCTGCGGGTCACCGGGTGTCGTGGAGGGGTGCGTCCCACAATGCTGCTGCCGCTGGGAGACGCCTGAGACTGAACAAACAACACAGACGTTTGAGCGAGCAACACACTGTAACATAATATAAATAATAATAATAATAATTTGTTATTAATTATTTGTATTTTATTATTTATTTATCAAGCTCATTTAAAAAAATAAAAAAATAAACTATTGTTTCTGCAGTCTCAGATTCCATGTAGTCCTGATCATGTCCCACAGCTTCACAGATGGTTGTTTTGAGGTGGTGTACCTGGGTGACATTCCCCCGTGTGAGCCGTTGGTGGGTGAGGTCAGTGGGCTGCTGCGGGTCACCGGGTGTCGTGGAGGGGTGCGTCCCACAATGCTGCTGCCGCTGGGAGACGCCTGAGACTGAACAAACAACACAGACGTTTGAGCGAGCAACACACTGTAACATTCAGTGACAGACAGGGGCATGTTTAGAGTAGGGCTGTCAAAAAAATCTAATTTTGAATTTAAAATAAAAATCCACATTTTAGGTGTGCATGAGGCAGCCTTATCAGTGGCACACAAGATGCGATAACGATGTAGGTGTCATTGCATTTTAATGTTTTTTTAGCCTATCCAGTTGAAGCCACTGGATGCGGCTCTGCTACATTGTTCACTCAAAATATTGTGGAAAAGATCTTGTTTACGTCAAAACTGAAACCAAGCCGTTCACACAGAACACATATTTATCGCATTTTCTATAGGGACATCTATCACCGTTGCACTCTCGTCTCGCACAAGAGAGCATTTTGTCTAGATGTTTAGAAAGCCATGTACATTTAATGTAAGTTCAACTTTTAAAAAAACATGTCTCAAGACTTTATGGCGGTTTTTCTGCATCCCACTGCATCTCATGTTTTTAAATGAAGAAAGTTCTCTTTGTGATTGGTTTTTGGTCCTTTGTATTATACATGATGCTGTTTTGATTCTAACTGTTTAAGCAACTTAATTAATTTTATATGGTTCATAAACATTATTTTAAATATTAAGCACTTTTTTCAAAGATAGTCGTGTTATTTTATTGCTTTGAATAAACGTGCATTAGTAATTTTTTGCTCGATGCGCCCTCTTGTGGCCTCAGGAGAGAAGCCAAAAGCTTTTTTTTCCCCATAACTGAAATTATGCTTTAAATTCGAATATAATTCAAATATTGATAATATTTAAGTACAAAAAAATTTTTCAGCCATTTTGACAGCCCTAGTTTAGAGTTTTGTGGGCCCTAAGCAAACAGTCCCTGGGGACCCCCGCGGTAGAAATCACGTTCCAGGGTATAGCCATAACCAAGTTTTGACAATTAGTGAGGTCTGGGGTGGGGTGTTAAGAATTGTGCTATAATAACACCTACAAATACAACCCATTATATACATACAAACTTTAAAAGAGACAGACATGTAAATGTTTGTAAAAGATGTTTTCTCTGTTTTAGGGGGAAGGACACTGTTAATAAGACCTTGTTTACTGCATTCAAATTTGTTAATGCTTTTCTATTGGGGTGGATAATTGTATTACTTGTTTATTATTCATACAATAATACAGTAATAGTTTTCATCAGTAATCAATGCTATACGATAGGAACTTTGCCTAGTGCTCTTATGAATGTTTTAGCATGACTTTGTGAAAGGTTAACTACTAAAACTGAATGAATAGCAAATTCTTTATGGACGGTGTCTTCATATTTGGCATTTTAATTCTGTAACGTACTTGTTCTGCAAATCTCTGTAGTAGTTATTATGCTACTGTTTTTGATAGCATTGATACCATTTCTTACATATAATATCACAATGATCATCGCGTTTGTATTACCGAATGTGGTATCCTGTTCCTGTGCTTTGTGGGCTTTTTAAAAATGTTTTATTACTGTCAGCTTTTAGTGCCGGCGATGCAGTGTTGCCCCCAAAAATAATCATTTAGATGAAGATATCGCTAACCCTAAACTGCAACTTTATTAACTTCCTAAAAGGTCACATTATTTTGAAGAAAAAACCCCCCAAGTCTGTCTTTAGTGGGATTATAAAAACTGGATCTGGCAACATGGAGGCTGCATCCGCGCTTTTATTCACAATTCTCTCTCAAGCCGTGTTCACATGATTTGCTCGCCATCATTTTCACACCATGGACACTGAACAATCTACGCAAACCATGTAAATTTAATTATACATGCAGACACTCATAGGAGGACTTTTAAATGGCTAATTAGAAAGGTAGAAATTGCATGGTTTGCGTGGTGCCTAAACACACTACTGGTGACGGAGAGCGAGATCAGCGCGTGTGTACCACTGTAGCCGCGTTACTGCTGTTCTTCAGATGGTTGTGCAGGAGTTTAGTGGCTCCGTCCTGGAAGGTTTTGGGCAGAGCTCCTAACAGCATGGTGAACTCTGGGGTGTTCAGCTCAAACAGGGCGATCAGAACCATCTGAGCAGCCTGGAAACACACAACCAGCACAAAAAACACTAATGAGATGCTTTAACTGGCAATATGAGACTTTGTCACTTCACAACAAGAAGAGAAAATGACGCATCACACTGTCCCTGATTAGGTGCAAATGAAAGCATTTCAAAATCTTGCAATAACATGAGTTTGATACACATCCCAATGGACCTTAGTGAGGAGTAGACGTCATGTTGAATCTGATGTGAACACATAAAAATGTCTCGGTTACGTATGGTAACCCTCGTTCCCTGAAGGAGGTGCCGCAAATTTTTATTACAGTTTAAATTTTATTTTTAAAATTTGTTATGTTATTTCTTATTAGTTTGTGTTTTTAAAATAACAAAATTAAAAAATATTTTTTTTTTATTTATTTGCAGTTAAAATTGTACTAATTTTATGTCATGTAATTTTGATTCGTTTTTTTATTATAATATTTATGTTTAATTTATGTTTATCTATATCCAATTAAATTTTTGGTAACTTTGTTATGTAATTTCTTAGTCTTTTTAATAGCACTATTAAGGTTTTCTTTTTTTATTTATTTTCAGTGGAATTTTAAATAATTCTGTTTGTAATATTTAACAGTTTTTATTTTTATAAATAATACTATTTGTGTTTTATTTAATTTTTTATTTATATCCAGTAAAATTTGAGTAATTTATGTAATATTTGTTAGTTTTAAGTAATATAATTTATGTTTATTTATTTCCAGTTAAAAGATTAGTAATTTTGTTATGTCATTTTTTTTTTGTTATTAGTTTTTGTGTTTTAAAATAATACTGTTTGGGTTTAATTTATTTGTATTGATTTCAAGTTAAAATTGTAGTAATTTTATGTCATGTAATTTTTATTAGTTTTTTAAAAAATAATTCTATTTAGATTTAATTTATTTTTATTTATCTCCAGTTAAATTTTTGTAATTTTTTTTTTTAAGTGATACATTTATGTAATTTTTATTTATTTATTTCCAGTTCAAAGTTGAGCAATTTTGTTGTCATTTTTTTTAAGTAACACTATTTAGGTTTTTATTTATGAATGGACAAAACATCTGTCCCTCACATCCCTGTTTTTTTTTAATTCATGCCAAAATAAATCTGCACTGCCGAAGGTCAAAGGTCATTCAAGTGCTTCAGAAGGTGTTAGTGGCTCAGAAAGGAGGAAAGACGGTTATCAGCTGCCATGCTGAAACATCAGATCAAAACCCTTCAGACAGCAGCAGTGTTAGACAAGCCCGGCGTGACCTCCGCAGGCAGTCAGGAGGTTAAAGGTCAAGGGTCACTACCTGCTTACATCTCTCCTCCAGGTTACTTTCCCCCGGCAGGGAGGCCACAGTGGAGCTCCTGCCCGACGCCTCCTCATTCAGCCAAATATGAAGCGTCTGAGACACACCACAGCTCACTTTGACAAACCCAACTTCAGCCGGAGCCTCACAGAAAAGAAGAAGAAAAAAAACACTGACCTTCCTGACGTCTGAGCTCTTCGGGTCTGTGGTCCACGTGATGATTCGAGAGACGGCTAACCGCGTCTCGCTGGAGTTCACGAAGTCTGATGGATCCATCTGTCTGGCCAAAGACTCGATGTACTTCAGGATGGCAACCTTCACCTGCTCTCACACACACACACCCACACACCCACACACACAGGTTTGTTTTTGTGAAAAGTGGGGACTCTCCACACACACACACACACACGCACACAAACACACACACATTGGTTTTTATGTTTTATGGGTTCATTCCATAGGCGTAATGTTTTTTCTACTGTTCACACTGTATTTTCTATCCCCTTACCCTAACCCTACACCTAAACCTGCCCCTCACACAAAAATACAGTCATTTTTACATTTTGTAAAGTTTAGTATGTTTTTAAAGCTATTTTAATTATGAGGACTTAGAAAATGTCTTCATATTCAACATGTGATTCAAATGATTCAAAGACATTCACATGGTTTGATAACACTACAATCAGGGTTATTATAGCTATAAAATAAACGTTAAATTAAATAAAATATAAAAATATATTATATTTCAGTTAGTTTCCAAGGCAACATTTCTCATTTTTATTTTTAGTTTAACATGACGTTTTAAAAACTAAAACTGAAATGAAAATTAATAAAAACTATGCAGACATACTTTTTAAAAAATACAAAAAAAGAGACAAAAACATAACAAAATTACTAAAACATTAACTAAAATTACGATGAGCACAGAAAATATCAATATAAAAATATTTAAATATTGATCAAAACTATATAGACATTTAAAAAATGACAAAAGCGCAACAAAAATGTTTAAATAATTCAAAATATTAATAAAAACCATAATAGTACCTCAGTGATACCATTTAACACTGTTTACAATAAGGTTGAATTCTTACCATTTATTATTCTTAGTTAATATTAATTTCAACATCTATTAATGCATTATTACAGTCAAAAGTATTTGCGAATATAATTAATGGATCTGAGCAACACGAACTAAAAATAAACAGTATTTTTATTATCTAACAATAATAAGGATTAATAAGTACTGTAACAAATAAATTGCTCATTGTTAGTTAAAATTAGCACATGCATTAACAATGTGTTAACAATGGTGTTTGAAAGAAAAGTTAAATGACAATCATACGAAATCTATAAACCAGACATACAGCAAGGAAGCATATTTATTGTAATTATTAATAATTCAGCTATTGTCCATAACATTATTCAAATAGTGGTTTTCTATTTTATTTCAAATTGTATTGTTATTATTATTTCAAATATTATTTTTATTCAAAATGTTTTAATTTTGGTGGTTTGATGGACATTAAAATAAAGCAACAAGAAGCCGTGGTTTGCACTGAATTTATAACAGCTAAGGGCCGTTGTTAGGCACGACGCAAAGCTGTTATAAACTCACTGTTAACCACAGCTTCACGGGGCTTATTGAATTTATTTCTGTGATTTCAAAGCTGAATTTTCAGCATCATTACTCCAGTCGCATGATCCTTCAGAAAGCATTCTAATATGCTGATTTGCTGTTTAAGAAACATGTATTATTATTATCAATATTTAAAACAGTTGAGCACATTGTTACAAAAGACTATTTCAGATAAATGCTTTTCTTCTGAACATTCTATTCATCAAAGAAACCTGAAAAATTCTACTCCGCTGTTTTCAACATCATAATAATAATAAATGTTTTTTGAGCAGCAAATCAGAATATTAGAATGATTTCTGAAGGATCATGTGACTGGAGTAATAAATTACATTTAAAATATATTCAAATAGAATTCAGTTATTTTAAATAGTAAAAATATTTCTAAATTGTACTGTTTTCACTGTACTTTGGATCAAATAAATGCACTGCAGGCTTGGTGAGAAGATAATTCAAAAATGAAAAAAACATTAAAAATCTTACTGTTCAAAAACTTTTGACTGCTAGAGTACATCTGTGAAATATTACTAAGATTACGCCACGATGCATGCAGCTAAAACCTAAAGGAACGAACACTGATTAGACAGAAAAGAGACATGCAAAGGATTGACGGTCATGGATGTTTTTGAACAATTACATGCATGTGAATGTAAGTGAATACAGCTGAATCCCATGGCCAGAACAAAAGCCATCTCAAAATCAAAAGGAAAAAAATAAAAAAGTATACACTATCATTGAAATATTTGGGGTCAGTAATTTTTTTTGTTCATAGAAATTATTAATATTATTTTTTATAAGTTAATAAATAATATTACTAATGAATAAATGATTATTATTTATCAACAGTGACAGTAAAGACGTTTATGATGTTACAAAAGATTTCTATTTCACATAAATGCTGTTCTTTTGAACTTTCTATTCATCTGTGAATCCTGAAAAATAAAATGCATCACGGTTTCCATACAAATATTGGGCACTGTTTTCAACATTGATAATAATAATAAGTTATAATCAGAAAATCTTGAGCAGCATATTAGAATGATTTCTGAAGATCATGTGACACTGTAGACTGGAGTAATGATGCTGAAAATTCAGGTTTAATCAAAGAAATAAATTACATTTCAACACATATTCACATAGAAAAGAGTTATTTGAAATTGTAATAATATTTCACAATTTTTACAGTATTTTTGACAAAATAAATGCAGCCTTGATGAGCAGAAGATACTTCATTCAAAAACATAAAAACTAAATACTGACCCCAAATTATTTTAGGACTTTTTTTGCATTCGGACATTGTTTTCATGCCAAATAAAAACACGTTGAAATATTCTCATCTGACTTTTTATACTATATTATACGTTTGTATGAAATGCCACAGACATGATTGGTTTATGAAAGAAATTATGGTGAAGATTTTGAGAGGGAAAACACTCAATCAGGTGTCCATAAACCAACTACCTTATTCCTGGAGTCTCCTAAAAGCTGCAGGGTTTCCAGACAAATGCAGAGGGACAGTAAAGACAAAAACATCAGGAATATGATGACGGATAATAATCAGACTGGAGATGGAGGACGTGATTCTCACCAGAGCGTCTGCCACGGCCGCCTCCACCTCTGTGCCCGTGTTCAAGATCCGCATGGCCTGATGGATGAGACCGAACCGATCTGACGGAGACGGAGACAGAGACGGAGACAGAGACGGAGAGGGGTCAGTAACCACACACAACATCAATGTTCAGAAAAACCAAACTCAGACACTGCATGCTTTTCATTCATCAGCATCACAGCACACAAGCGTACAAACACAGACTGATCTGACTGAAAACATGCAAGAAAACACATCAAGAAATTACAGAAAAGGCAAGAAATTGAAGTCAAAACAACAGTAAAACTCTCAAAATTAAACACAAATATGCAACGGGGCCCAACAGTCTGAAATAATGCTGAAAATGTATGATTCAAATTTAAATGATTAATTATTCAAATCTGGAAATAAACCAAGTTTTAGGATTTTGAATGAATGCATAAATTACATAAATAAATACATAAAACTAATAAAGAGCAAATGCATAAATATTTAAATATTTAAATAACAATATTTAAGTAAAACTAAAAGCATTTGGTACTTTAAAAAATCATTAACTGAAATAAAATAAAATATATAATTTTTTTTGACATTTTTTATTTTATTTTAGCTAAATAATTTCTCATTTTTAATTAGCTTAACGTGATGTACTAAAATAACTACATTTAAAACTGAAATAAAAATGTATAAAAACTACTGTATATAAGTAAAAAAATGACAAAAACATTACAAAATTACTAAACTTTTAACTAAAATAACAATAGAAAATATCAAATTAAAAAATTATTCAAAATATTACTAAAAAACTGATATTGATCTGTATATGAATATAATCAG